AAAGATGAAATATGAACAGTCAACAATCCATGGAAAGATGCTCAGGATCACTAGCAATCAAGGAAATGCAAATACAAACTGGAATGGAGGCTGGCACTGTAGTGTAGTGGGTTAAGCCACTGCCCGCAATCCCAACATGCTACACAGGAGCCAGTTCATGTCCCAGTTGCTCTACTTCAGATCCAGTTCCTATTAATGAATTGGGACAGCCATGGAAGACGGCCCAAATCTTGAGATCTGATTATTACTATTATTGATAGATTTTCTTGAAAGGCAGCATTACAGAGAGAGAAGACAGATTTTCCACTGCTGGTTCATTCCTCAAATGGCCATCACAACAGAGCAAAGCTGGTTCAAAACCAGGAGCTTCTTCCCAGTCTCTTACATGGGTGTAGGGACCCAAGGATTTGGGCCGCCTTCTGCTGTTTACTGTGGCAAAGTATTAAATTCTACTTGCTAAATTTTTTACTTCTTGGAGGATTAAATTTGTGGTTATAAACTAATGTGTCTTATCACAAAAGTTAAAAGCAAAGTAAGAAAGGAAGGAGGGTGGGAAGTACTGGTGTGTTCTTAAAGCCATATATACAATATACATGAAATCTGTTGTTTTTATTATCAATAAATTTTTTAAATTAAAAATTCCAAATTTTTAAATAAGAAACTGCAACCCAACTTTCAAGTGTTTTATTTTTAGTGTTTTAAAACATTTTAATACAACAAAGATATAAAATAATATATATTAGTTAAATCTGGTTTTAATTTATAATTAATATATTTACGTATGTACAATACTGTGCTTCAAGGTGTGGCTATCACAGGAACTTTCACATCTTCAAGTAATACTACTTTCTTTGTGGATAGGGAGATAACTTCGGTAGACTTCTCAAAACAAAACATACCCATTTTAGCTTGCAGATACCTCCATTAAGTACCAGTGTTTGCTTTCTTTGTCCCCTAAATACTTAATTGCCTAACAACACATATTTTTCTGAACACAAAATTACTAAACATTCTTAAGACAGCATTACTAACTAATAATACCACTTTGCTGTGTTCAGTTCTTCAGACAACCCAGTAGAGGTCAGATTGCAACAACTAGAATAACAATGAAACTGATATAGCATTCCTTATCCTGTTGTATCAGCAACAAAGTTGTCCTGACATATACTGAGACACAGGGTGCACTGAATAAAAAGTCCATTGGTTAATTCTGAGTAGAATGTATTCCAAAATCCATTTGATCTGTAGCTGTAAGAATGGCTTTTAGATTTCATAAATATTTGCACTGAACTTTAACCAACTAGTCACATTTTAGTTATCTGAAACTGGTAGCATTCAATCAAGGTAAAATAACAAGGGGCCCAAAACCCACGTTCATACTGTTTTTTAATCACTCAAGAGCATTCAATAACAGAGGAAAAATAAATGAATTAAAACCAATTCAAACGCTTTCCATTCTCATTGGTTACCTGAAGCATTCTGATCTTTGATATCCTAACAATCCTAACAAGAGGAACAGGGTAATTCAAGATCAACTTTTACAAACACAAACTGTCTAAACTGCCAAGCAAAGTTGGCATTAAAGTTGACATGCTATTCCAAAACATACACTTAAGTTAATTTATCACTCCTTTACATAAAGAAATACAGTAATCCCTCCCACCCCCACCCCAACGCCAACAGAAAACAGAACAAAACCCCTGGCATGCTTTGATTTTCGGACTGTCTAAAGGAACCCAATACTGTTTTAAAAAGCCACTGAACTATTCTAAATGCTTCAAATGCCTGAATACTTTGATGGATTGATAAACGACTGTCCTAGAGCCACTTTTAGTATGGCATAGTGTCTACAGACTATCAATCAATTACATTCATTAAATCAGACAGTTTGAAAAACTAGAATATGGCTAACAGTCTGAAGTATTTTGGATCTACAACTCTTTTAAAAACTTCAATATGAAATCAATGATGAAAATACCTTTTCGTGAATACAAAGCTGGTTAGTGTTATGCATGACTGTGAGTATATGACAATATTTCTTTAACAGATAGTCTCTAAAACATATTCTTATCAGCTATAGCAACATCTGGCTCCTTTGCTCCCCATTTTAGAGATTCTAGGAGTTTTGGAATTTTTAATAACACTCAGGCAGGCACCAAGAGGGCAGAGCACTACTCACCCAGTGTCAGTTACACCAGCAGCTGGTCTCAGATGGTCAGCGGCTTTTTCTTGTAAACAGCCCCTCCTACTTAACTGGCTGCAAAGTGAAGCTCATTTCTTTGAAAGGATATTAACAACCAACCAACATACGGAGGTTGTATCTCTGCCCTAGAGTTTCTAGTCAGAAAAAACTGTAAGACAGCCCAAGTGAAATTCTGCAGCACAAACAAAAACGGTTTTTCCCAAGTCATTTTGGGATAGCTGCAAATCTGTCTTCTTCAAGACTTCTTACTATCATCTTCCATTGTCCTTCAGCAACATTACCCTGGATGGGTATAGTTTAAAAAAAAAAAAAAAAAGAGTAGCACAGCTTCCAAGAACATAGAAAATGCACGGACTGTCAACAAAACCTTTAGTTTGCATCTCCAAACCAAAAACTCTTTTGGTTCCTCCTATACTTAGGTTTCCAGGATGTAAGGCGCTCACAGGTCTCCAGCTGTGGATCAAATGCAAGAGCGAAGAACACACAGACCTGAGGCATGCAGCATTTCTACCTAACCACATTCACACTAAAAATGTAAACATAAACACTATCTTCATCAGGATTTAGATTCTTAACAAGAAAAAAAAAAAAGACAAAAATTTGGAAATTTCTGGACAAAGTTAAAATAAAAAATAGGTTTTATGTTTAGAAAAATACCAGAAAATATTATCTCAAAATTTTCAAAGAAACTTGATGGTGATTAGTTGATGTAAACACGTCCTTGTAATAGTTAAAACTATAAATCCAGCTTACCTTTTCCTCAAAACAGATAGGATTAAATGCTAGGCTGGGCAGTTATTTTACACAGTCCTCATTGCAGTCTGCTGTTGGGTACTCCCAATGTCAACATCTCTGCAAAGTTAACAGCATTCAGTTTTCTATTTTGTTCTAGAGTAGAATCCTTATCCAGGAAAGGAGACCAATGTTAGGAAATTTACCATTAATAGCTGCTTATATTTTTAAATTAATGTTGTCACAGAATTTTGAGGAACATTTTTCCTAAAGTCAACATTAGTTCCTTCCTTACTAAGCTCAGACCTATCTGTTACTTAGAAAAAAAAATGGCAGTAGCATTTTACTTTATTTTACTTTAATGGTCAAGCCAAAGTTACTGGCACAGGTAAAACCATGCATGTTTCATGATTATGAAATTTATTTGAATGATGTAGGATTTTTTGTCCCTAGCATATAACAGAATCAACAATTTAAAGTGTATACTATTCTGAAGGATGAGATTTAAAATCATAAAAAACTTTTGCTTTGTGCCATTTCTCAAGTGAAAAAAGAAAAGGTAACATCCAGGGCAGGCCGGGATCATGCTTATTATCTCTGGTTGAAACTTGTCTGCAGATTACTCCCTCCCAAACTTATTGAGGTTTACCTACAGCTTATACAAGGGTGGGAAAATGACTCAAAGTACAAAACTAAAATATTTCACTTAGATAAAAGGAAGCAGAGCAAGCTTTTGCTGTGGTCTAATTTTAGATCTCAGTATGCCTGCACCTTTTCTAACTCTGTTTTGAAATGGAATGTAAAAACTACACAGAGTATTCTAGAGGCCAAGTTCATCAGCTGGGGTTTAAATTTCAATTCCATAGCCATCTGACTATTACAACTGACTATGCTGTATAAAACCAGAAAAAATAAAGTGCCAGATGTTATCACAGGGGTGAAATTACTGAACGGACTGAATTTTTAGTGTTGTAAACAGCAGCTAAGTTATATAATTTCCTCAATGCTAAATTAAAACTGACAGAAAGAATGTATGTACACAACTGCATTTAAAAGCAACAATTTTTTTATATTCAAATGTGTCAAGACTGTTTTCTTCTGAAATTTCAAGATAGAAATTGCAAAAACCAACAAGTTATTCTGTCTGCAACCAGTTAAAAATTTGTTTTCAAAAAGAAAAAAAAAATCTTTGCTTGCAGATTTCCCTATTTAATGACATAAGAATTTTATCTAACACCTGGTAAAATATTCCTGTTTGGTTCACTAAATAAGATCACTGAAAAATCATAAAACTGGGCAGTCACTCTGTGAATTATAAGCACAGCACAAATTTATCTCAGGTACCTTTATCCCTGAAATTAAAGTCAATTTATCATAGCATCTAGCTATCACATAGACGCTGGCCATTTCCCTGATGAGTACTTACTGATGGTCATATATAACCCTCAGAACAAAACAGTAATTGCATCTCTTGTTGCACATTTGGTGAAGAAATGCTAGCTCTGTATTTGCATCCTCATTGTTTTGTTGTCCACTCATACACGGTCCCTTTCCCTCTGCTTCAGTCATTCTGGTAACTCTCTGTATACTTAAAGATGGTTAGAAGGCAAAAGCTAATCATGATGAAAACAAATCACTTTCCAGAACTGCAAGTTTTAAACAGACAGAGATTAGCTCAAACAATAAGTGTTCACTCAATAGGGATTGTTCTTCTGAAGATAGTAAGAAGAGCTACAAAAGATACTGCTTCTTGACTACAGGCCTACGGAAACCAGCAAAAGTCATTTAACCAGCAAATCGCTTAGATTAACATTTCTAAGCCCAATAAGCAAATACTCAACAGGTAAGGGTTACAGCTCAATTTCAATAACATTAAGTCTTCCTAAAAAAAGAGGGGCAGAAAACATCTACTTAAGTTTGCTGTTCCACCAGCTAGGTAAAGGCTCTTGATTGTTCTTTCTTGCTTTTTAGAATTCCAGCCTTGCTTAGAATAGGGAACTCTGTCAACACATAAACCAAATATGCAAGGCATCCAGGAACAACCTATGGGGAGAAAGTAAAATTATTCATTTTCAACAGCTACTGTATATTTAATCATGAACTCTTTACAAAGATGCAGTCTTCATCCAATCAGCCTTTTCATTATAGCTGGTTTTGAAAATGGCCAACAATATTCATTAGGTACTGTGCCATTGACGTTGCATTCAAAAAAAGAAAACATGGGAAACCAAATTCTTGCCCTCCTACTCTGCTGATATGCTCTGGTATTAGCCAGAGTATGGTAGTACAAAAAGAGTCTTGTTGTGATATAAAAGGCAATAAATACATCAATGGAATAATGTTCATGGGCAGCCAAGATGAAGAAGATTCCAAACAGGTTGAGAACCCAGGATAAAGTGTGTAAGAAATTCCAGCTTCTTGGTGTATCTAGGAAAATGACAGAAAGATAATTTTACAATTTTGTTCCTTCCACTGTTTCTCGCCCTTATATATTTTAGATGAACCTACTTAGCTGAGTCATTGTAGGACTCACAGCCTTGCTACAGCTTTCTCTGCAGCAAGTTATCATGTAAATATATACATTTGATATATCTCTATGATATATAGGTATAAATTCTAAGATACTTACATTCAGTGACAAAGAAATTCAGCATAGTTAGGACGACTGTGTGGCCACTGAACATGTAATCTCCACAAGTGTGAACGCCAGTCAAGGTCATACCAAAGCCACTCCAAATAGCAAAGGCACGGTGTAATTTCTCCCATACACTGCCGTATATCTACAGAAAAAAGCTAAACTTAGTGTGTTACATGCTTAGGAGGAAAGAGCATTCCAACATTCATTCCCACTGAGCACCAAATGTTGAGTAACTTATAAATGAAATCACACCAAAAGCAAACAAAACATTAGTCCAACTAATTTCAGGCCAGAATGAGGACTAGGTGGGTCAAAGCTTGACAGTGTTCAGAAGTATTTTGGTAATTAAGTGAAATCACTGTGTTTCAAATACCTCTACAGGAGTTCCTTTATAAAGAACAGGTTGCTTTATGATGAAAGTATCTCCAAGTTTTTAATCTAGTATCACAGTAATATTTGTTTTATTGTTTATGTCAGTTAAGAAACAGGTTATGACAGAGATCAACAGCTATCATCGAACATTCATTTCTCGTTCTTCACTAGTGAAAGATTCTTAAATATATCGATGAGTCAATGAACTGAGCTAGAACAATGCATTTCCCAGCCTCCATCCAGTCATATGTAAACAGTGCAAATTATTTCTGTACAATAAAATCCATGTAGAAATATAGGGATTTCCAAGCAAGCTATTTATAAAGGAAAGAGTATCACAAAACAAGTTTTTTTTTCTACATTTCCACCATATCTTGCAATCTACAACTCAGACATGAAAACAGGCGCTTTTGAAACTGATAGAGTGACCTCATTATGTGAGGTAGGTGTTTATATGGTAGAGGAGGAAGAAGCATCATAGGAGGTTGAAAAAACTATTTTAAGATTTATTTGAGGGGTATGAAGACATAGGAAATAGAGACCCAGAGACATGTCCATCTGCTGATTCACCAAAAGCTTGCACCAGCTGGGGCTGAGCCAACCCAAACCAGGAGCCAGGAACTCAATCTGGGCTTCCATTGTGGGACAGATACTCAACTACTTTGGCCATCACCAGTAGCACTCCTAGGGTGTGCATATGCAAGAAGCTGGAATTAGAAGTGGAGCCAGAGATTCCAGCACTGTGGCCTAGCAGCTAAAGTCTTCGCCTTCAATATGCCAGGATCCCATAAGGGCGCTGGTTCTAATCTTGGCGGTTCTACTTTCCATCTAGCTCCCTGCTAGTGGCCTGGGAAAGCAGCAGAGGATGGCTCAAAGCCTTGGGACCTTGCACCAGTGTGGAAGACCCAGAAGAACTTCCCAGCTCCTGGCTTTGGATCAGCTTAGCTCCAGTTGTTGTGGCCACCTGGGGAGTGAACCTGTGGATGGAAGATTTTTCTCACTGTCTCTCCTTCTCTATGTAAGGTCTGCCTTTCCAATATAAGTAAATAAATCTTAACCAAAAAAAAAAAAAAAAAAAAGATGCATTAGGGGTCGATGCGATGGTTTAATCGGCTAACCCTCTACCTTCAAGGGCCAGCACCCATTTGGGTGCTGGTTTTTGTCCCACCTGTTCCACTTCCCATCTAACTCCCTGCTGGTGGCCGAGAAAAGCAGTGGAGGATAGCCCTCATCTTTGGGACCCCTCACCTTGCCACCTGTATGGGAGACCTGGAAGAAGCTCCTGGCTGCTTAGGTCAGTTCAGCTCCAGCCATTGGGGCCATTTAGGGAGTGAACCAGTGGATGGAGGACCTTTCTGTCTTTCCTTTTCTCTATATTTCTGCCTTTCCAATAAAAATTAAAAATTTTTAAATAAAAGTAAGTAAAAAGGTCATGTAAATCGTAACAATAATCACACAAAAAGCTGACAAAATGCTACGTTCATTTACTATGTGCAAGGCATGCTAAATGCTTCATTCACATGTTACTGTATTTAATTCCCATAATTCTATGATGTGATTGGATTTGCAGATGAGGGAACTGACTTAGAAAGTTCCCACAACTTGTAGTAACAAAGCCAGGAAGTGAATTCAGGAAGCCCAAGTCCAAAGTGAGGGAAACAAACAACCTTATTAATTATCATATTCTCCGTAGAAATCTCACTCGCCGTCAGTTATATGCCTCCCCGCTTTTCCCTTCTGCCTCAGTTGAAACAATGAAAGGGAGAAGAATCAATAACTGTAGACGATGGTACTAAACACAACTGGTTCTTCCACAATCTCCAATTTGGACAGTTACAGATATTAATCTCATGAAAGGAAAAACCAAGTTGTGAAGAGAAGAGTTTGCCAGGAAAAATTTACAGCCAAGAGTTAAGAAGCAACTGATGCCAGTCAAAAGCAGGCAATATGTGCTCAAATCTCCCTGTCCTCTCCCACCTTAAATGCCCACATACTTTCAGAAAAATCAAAACTGAAACAACATAGTGGAATGGAATGTACGCAGTGATCAGACAATGCGCAGAACACTGCTCTAAGTGTCTCCAAACTAGTTTAGGACTAGAGTTTTGGGGCAATGAAGGAATGTGCCACTTCTCCATGTTAGCACTCCACATCAGACACTGGTTCAAGTCCTGGCTGCTCCCTGTTAATGTGTCTGGGAGGGCAGCAAAGAATGACCCAAGAGTTTAGGCCCCTGGCAACAGTGGCAGATTGGGGATGGAGAGTAGGGCTCCTGGCTGCATCCTGGCCCAGTACTGGTCACCATGGCCAATCTGGGTGGTAAATCAGTGGGCAGAAGCACTCAGTCTCTCCCTCTCTGTAACTGTATCTTTCAAACCAATAAATGTTTTATTTTTATTTTTAAAAGATTTATTTATTTTTATTGGAAAGGCAGATTTACAGAGAGAAGAAGATAGAGACAAAGATATTCCATTTGCTGGTTCACTCCCCAAGTGGTTGCAATGACTGGAGTAGAGCCAAACCAAAACCAGGAACCAGGAAGTTCTTCCTGGTGCAGGGTTCCAGGTCTTTGCCCCAACCTCTACTGCTTTCCCAGGCAACAAGCAGGGAGCTAGATGGGAAGTGGAGCAGCCGGGATATGAACTGGTGCTCTAAATAAATGTTTTAAACACACACACACCAGCAGTTGGTGTTCTGTCCCCAAACCCCTACTGCTGGGAATACAATTTCAAGCAATTACTTCATGACAATGAAAATGCTTTATGGAGTTCCTGTAAGGGATTTGATTGCTAGTAATTATCACATTAACTTTCTAATTTTAACAAATACTGCAAATAATACAGGTCAATAAGTAGGTTATAATTCAAACCAATTAGCTGTATTTAGGGCAGAATAGAAATATCCATATATTGAAAAGGATAATGAAAACCAGTCATTAGAGACAGAAAAAGGGCTATCCATACTGTAAAGGAACGGTGTCTAATTTGTTTTTACAGCACATGTTGGAGCCCTTTGCACATAAGACCTTTGGTTTAGCGGCTGATCCACAATTAAATCCTTGCGTTATAGGAAATTTTCAGTTTAATAAACTTTATGGGAGAGTATAACATCCCACTTCATGATGAAATTCACAGCTATCTGCCTTATAAAGAACATATGCTGTAAAGGCGTTCCCTCTGAGATTCCCGTACCTGCCTAGGAAAGATCTTTTCATAAGAGGAAAACATCGGGAGTCTGACACCAGGTGCAGTGGTCTTCTGGCAGTCATGTACCCAAAAAACTTTGTACAAGAAGACAGACTTTGAACCTTACGTGGCTCCTTTCTTCAATCTCCCATGGCCTGTGGTCCTATTTCCCCTCTTCTGGAGTTCAAGTCCCTATTCATTCCTTTATGCAACTCAAGATACTATAAAAGCTTCAACAACATCTAGTCTGTTCTGAGCCTCTTATGCTGTGTATATTAATACATTCATATGCTTTATCTCCTGTTAATCCATTATTAATTAGACTGAAATTACCAAACCTTTGCAAGGACACATGAATATTAAGATTTCCTGACAGCCAAAATATTTTTTCTTTTAAATCTCTTCTAATCAATTAGCATACTGTTTGGGGGAAAATTTTCTATTTGTACTTTTCACTATGTAATAAATAAGTTTCAAAATAGCTTAAGCATTTAAACATAAATTTTACAACTTAGAGTTAAAATACCTCTTGGGATGCTTACTTCCCACATCAGAGTGCTTGTGTTTGAGTTTTGGTTCTTTTTCTGATTTCAACTTGCTGCTAACACAAACCTTGCGAGGCCCTAGGTGATGGGTCAAGTACTTTGAGCCTTGTCACCCACAGGGTTGACCCAGACTGAGTTCCCACCTTCTGGATTCAGCCTGGCCAGCCCTGGCCATCTGAGCAGTTGGGGAATGAACAGGCAGTTAGAGAGTGAATGAGCAGACGAGTGATTCTCTCTTTCTGCTTTTCAAATGAAAACAAAACTAAACAAAAAATAAGCCCACCAAAGTATCTTATATCACCTTTTAGAAAGGTAGTTACTATCAAGGTTGCCAATATTTTTATTTATCTGAAAAGAAGAGTGATACAGAGAGAAGAATGGGGAGAGAAGAAGGATGCTGGGCCAGGCTAAAGCCAGGAGCCAGAAACTCCATTCTGGTCTCCCATGTGTGTTGCAGGAACTCAAATATCTGAGCTATGATCTACTGCTTTGTCAAATGCACATAGGCAGGAGGCTGGAGAAAGAGAGGGTGAGACTTGATCTCGCATTCTTTTACAGCACACAGGCATCCCAAGTAGGGGCTTAACCCGTTATACCACAATGTCTGTCTCTAAAGTGGGTATTTTAACACATGTAACAATGGTTAATGTGCATGTCTTTCAGTTCCATAATTCTACATTTAATAATTAATCTCAAGGAGATGTAAATGCAAAAACAAAAACGTACAAGGATTTTTATTTACTACAGTGTGGTTTCTAAATGGTAAAATTCAGAATTGTGTCTTTTGGAGACTGGCAAATCATACAGTGGAGTATTGTGCAGCTATTGGAATGTTGAACACAGCTATACGCATTTTTTTCAGAAGAAAGTAAATAACATAGTATTTTAAAATAAGCTAAAAAACAATGTCTAGGGGCCAGCATTGTGGCACCATGAGCAATTAAGCAGCTGCCTGCAGCACCAGAATTCCATACTGGAGCAGTAGTTTGAGTCCCAATTCTTGGTGTCTGCTAATGTACTGAAGAAACAGAAAATGGCCCAAGTACTTGAGTCCCTGCTACCCACTTGGGACACCAAGATGGAGTTCTCAGCCCCGGCTTCAACCTGGCCCAGACCTGGCTACTGTGATCATTTGGTAAGTGAACCAGTGGATGGAACAACTCTGTTAGTCTGACTTTATTTTTTTTTAAGATTTATTTTTCATTGCAAACTCAATATATATATATGAGGAGAGACAGAGAGGAAGATCTTCTGTCTGATGATTCACTCCCCACTCAAGTGACCACAATGGCCGGAGCTAAGCTGATCCGAAGCCAGGAGCCAAGAGCATTTCCAAGATCCCCCATGTGGATGCAGGGTCTCAAGGCTTTGGGCTGTCCTCACTGCTTTCTCAGGCCATAAACAAGCAGGGAGTTGGATGGGAAGTGGGGCTGCCAGGATTAGAACCAGCACCCATACAGAATCCTGGCATGTTCAAGGCGAGGATTTTAGCCACTAGGCCACCGCACAGGACCCTGTCAGTCTGCCTTTAAATAAACAAGTCTTTAAAACAAAACAAAACCAAAAAACCGTATCTAAAATTTAATCTCATCCATCTTCCCCCCAATTAGCACTAATGGCGGGGGCTGGGCCAGGCTGATTAGGAAGCAGGAGCTTTATCTAGGAGCCTTAGTACTTGGGCCAACTTTCACTGCTTTCCAAGGCACATCAGCAAGGAACTGGCTGACTCAAACAGGCACTTACACGGCATGATGCAATTGCGGGCAGAGATTTAATACACAGTGTTATGATGTCACCTTCATATGTCTTACCTTTTATCTAACAAATATATATGCATACATATATGTGTGATACACACACACAGCTATGTAGAGTTCTGAGCAAGCTTAAAAATGTTCTGGATGGGGGGGTGAACATGCCATGCAAGTGCAAGTTTGAGTCCCAGCTGCTCCATTTCCAGTCCAGCTCCTCTTAGTGTGCCTGGGAAATCAGCACAGGACAGGCCAGGTGCTTAGGCCCACACCCACAAGGGAGGCCTTAATGAAGCTCCTAGGTCCTAGCTTTGGCCTGGCCTAACCCTGACCACTGTGGCCATTTAGGTAGTGAACTAGAGGATGGAAGTTCTCTTTGTCTCTATGCCTCTGCTCTTCTCTCTGTAATCTAACTGCCAAACACATAAATACATTAATTTTTGAAAGAAATTTGTCCAGGTAGCTATGGACACAAATATTCACAGTATTATTCAAGGTGGTATGTGGAAAAAAAAACAGAAAATTACATGCACTTTTCATTTTTATAAAGGATATTATCTTGGGGCCATCCTGTTGGCTCAACTGCCTAATCCTTCACCTCCAAGCATGGCATCCCATATGGGTGCTGGTTCATATTCTGGCTGCTCCATTTCCCATCTAGCTCCCCACCTGCAGACCGAGAAAGCAGTGGAGAAAAGTCCAGTGCCTTGGGACCCTGCACCTGCATGCGAGACCCGGAAGAAGCTCCCGGTTCCTGACTTCGGATTGCCTGAGTTCCAGCTGTTGCAATCATTTGGGGAGTGAACTAGATGGGGGATCTTTCTCTCTGTCTCTCCTTCTCTCTGTAAATCTACCTTTTCAATAAAAACGAATAAATTTTTTTTAAAAAAAAGACATTATGCAAAAAGTAGAGTGACAGAGAGAGAGAGGGGGAGAAACAGCGAGAGACAGCTCTTCCACTCTCTGGTTTACAGCTAGGGCTGGGCCAGGAGCTTCTGGGTGGGAGCTAGAACTCCATCTGTGTCTCTTAAGTGAGTGGCAGGGACTCAAGTATGTGGATCATCATCCACTGTTTTCACAGGGTCATTTATAGGGACTGGAAGTACAGAAGCCAGAACTTGAATCAGTGCTTTGTTAAGGGATGGCAGTGCTACAAACAACTGCTTAATGTGCATGCCAACCCCAGATTTTACTTTTTAATACATTACATATTTCTGCATAACTGGAATAATGTTACATACTTTTATAATTTTAAAAATTGTGTTTTGTTGGGCCTGGCGCAGTGGCGCAGTAGCGCAGTAGTTAAGGTCCTCGCCTTGCACGCCCAGGATCCCATCTGGGCGCCGGTTCTAATCCCGGCAGCCCCGCTTCCCTTCCAGCTCCCCGCCTGTGGCCCAGGAAAGCAGTCCAGGACGGCCCAAAGCTTTGGGACCCTGCACCTGTGTGGGAGACCTGAAAGAGGCTCCTGGCTTCGGATCGGCATAGTATCGGCCATTGCGCTCACTTGGGGAGTGAATCATCGGACGGAAGATCTTCCTCTCTGTCTCTCCTCTCTGTATATCCGCCTTTCCAATAAAAATAATAATAATAAAAATAAATCTTTTAAAAAATTGTGTTTTGTTGTAGGTCCAAGTGGTTGTTGTTCAAAAAGGCAAGTTCACGACATATGTAAAAGTGGTGCTGGTCCTGGCAGGACACTACTTGGGACACAAAGCTGTCCTGAGGAACACAGATGACAGCACCTCAGATCTCCCTTACCAGATTCAATTCTGCCTGTGGTGGCCAGAATTGACCGCTACCCCTGCCAAGTAACAGTTGCCATGGGCAAGAAGAAAATCGTCAGGATGTAGAAGATCAAAACTTTTGTGAAGTTTATAACTCTAACCTTTCATGCCCATCGGGGACTCAGGATTTGCCCATGGTCAGAACCGTGGCAATAAGGATGTCTTCAGAAACCCTGCTCTTAAACACAAGGTCCAAGAGACCAAGGTCAAGTTCAGAGACAGGGACAAGACTAGCAAGAACAAGTGGTTCTTCTAGAAGCTGCAGCTTTAGATACATTTCTGTTCTAGTCCTTGAAAACTTAAAAACAAAAAAAACCTGCCATTTCTTTTGGAAAAATGGGAAAAAACATAAAGCAAACCTCCAAGTAGCTTATACCCAAAGTGAAGCACTAACATTAAACTGTAAATGACATATTCACTCCTCGCCCATTCACACCTGCGGCTGGTTCTAGTACTCTCCTGTTCTGGGGTCTATTTATAGGGCTTGATCTCCTTTGGGAGCTTAATCTTCCCTTTCTGGCATTTCAGGCGTGTATACCACACCACAAGAACTGACAATTTTGCTTCCAGATAATATTAACAGACAGCAAAGGTATTATGAGATACATTTGAATATATTGTCCAAATTTAGTGTGTCACACAGCCAACGGTGTATAATTAGGCACAGATGATTTTCAAAGTTAAAAAATTTTTTTTAAAAAAACAACTCTCAGTTTCTGTGATTATTGTTTACATCTGCATGGCCTCTCTTTCCTTGATTTACCTTATATCAAAACAACAAGCTATGAAGTTTAAAACAAAAACAAAACTTATCATTGCTTCCTAAATCCCAGAAAAGAGTAATGCTTAGAGTACCACTCTTCGGGTGGTATATGGTCTCTCAGCAGCATTTTTTCATAAAAGGAATGATGAAGAAGGATAGAAAGGAATGAGCATGCGTAGGTGGTAGTCAGGATGCTGAAGGGGGAGGGAAGGGAAAACAGTAATAAAAAGACACCTTTTCTGAAGCTCCAGAGTATGTAAGTGTGGAAGGAGGAAATAATGAAAAGATGGGATTCTGGCTTCAGATGTTTACCAAACTGTTTCTAGAGGTTGATTAAAGAGATTACAAATATCAAAAAGCACATTTTAATATTAAAAGCAAAATCTTAGCATTATTCCATATATTGTCATTAACACATGAGGAACAAGAAGGAGTGATACAGGTAGCAGGCTACCTTTCCAGTACACTGTAGATGCTGTCCTGGTACGGAGAGGGAGGTCACAAACATGGTAAAGCAGCGAAGCAAGAAAACAGTGCCCATCAGGCTACAGAGCCTTCGCAGAAGTATTGACCTGTGAACAGAGCGACCAAAAACGGGGAAAGATCAGGAGAAAACCAACCAACTCCCCCACCCCAAATCAATCGTCTAATTAGAGAGAGAACAAGCAGAAACAAACAAAAACAAAGCAACAAAGCAACAACAACAGTAAAAAACCACTCGCGTCAATGCAGAGGACATGTCTAGGGGCCCTTTGAAGTCCCACCGTCCGACACAACTCCCTGCAATGATGCAAGCGTTCCATAGCCATCTCCACATGGCGCCTGCATCGCAGCTGATACAATAACAGGTGAACTTAAATGCTCTGTCATTTTATTTGCTCTAAATAGCCACATGTGGCTAAGAGAAAGTAAGTCTTTTTTTTTTTTTAATTTATTTTTATTATTTTTTATTGGAAAGACAGATATACAGAGAGGAGGAGAGACAGAGAGGAAGATCTTCCATCCGATGATTCACTCCCCAAGTATGCCCATCCGAAGCCAGGAGCCTCTTCCGGGTCTCCCACACGGGTGCAGGGTCCCAAAGCTTTGGGCCGTCCTCGACTGCTTTCCCAGGCCACAGGCAGGGAGCTGGAAGGGAAGCGGGGCTGCCGGGATTAGAACCGGCGCCCATATGGGATCCCGGGCGTGCAAGGCGAGGACCTTAACCACTTGCTCCACGGCGCCGGGCCCGAAAGTAAGTCTTATGCAGCACTGAAAAGTAGCAAGCTTAGCCTTTGCCATATTACTTATAAATTACACACTTTAATGTATAAAACTCACATGGAACTGAACATTTTTTGTTAATTATGAACATAAATTAGCCAACAAGAATAGCTGTCTTATTCTAACTTGTCCTAACTTAAGCTATATTTAAGTTGTTTAAAAAAAATACTGAACTTTAAGAGTCTCATGCTCTACCGACTGAGCTAGCTTGGCATGCTAATACTGAACTTTAAATAAGTGTATCTGAAAAAATAATTTTTCAGTAAGTGTAAACTGGGGTAATTTTGGCCTCACTGTGACATTACCTGTACTGTTATGCTATTTGTTTGCATGTATTAAATCAAAAGAGACTAAAATTCTTGAGGATGTGGATTATGCTTTACATATCTTCAAAATGTTCCTTTATCCCTCAAAATAAAAAGCACTGAACATGAGGCTACATATGCTTTAAACTGGAGTCTTCTAGAAATCTGCATTTTAACAACACACGGTGATTTTAATGAAAGTGTACAAGGGAAGACTTACTCTGAGAATCACTTTCTTTGACTAATTAAATATTAACACTCTCAATACACTGACCTCTGTTATGCTTTGCTGAACCTCCAAAGGCTTTCTGTGAGGTAAACGCTTCCACTGGGGAGATTGGCTAAGTTCAAAACCATGGGGTCTATGGAGGCAAAGTTAATGAGAAAGCAACAGTAATACATGCATTTTTGGGGCCCGGCAGTGTGGCCTAGTGGCTAAAATCCTCACCTGGAACGCACTGGGATCCCATCTGGGCGCCGGTTCTAATCCCGGCAGCTCCACTTCCCATCCAGCTCCCTGCTTGTGGCCTGGGAAAGCAGTTGAGGATGGCCCAAAGCTTTGGGACCCTGCACCAGCATGGGAGACCTGGAAGAGCTCCTGGCTACTGGCTTTGGATCGGCACAGCACCGGCCATTGTGCTCACTTGGGGAATGAATCATCAGACAGAAGAACTTCCTCTCTGTCTCTCCTCCTCTCTGTATATCTGACTTTGTAATAAAAAAGAAATAATTCTTTAAAAAAAATACATGCATTTTGAGCTACCTCTGGCTTTAAGAAATCCAGATTTTAAAATATTGCTGCAAAACGGGACAAAATGAGCGAGAATAAGGTTCAGTGTGGCCTAAAAGTGTGACAAGAATAGCAACCATGAATCCTTCTTCGCACCTCAAAGCGCTGAAATAACAGCTGCTCGGAAGCTAATGTCCATCACTGTGATTGGCCACAAGTACTTTCCCATGAGAGAGGATGAAAAATTTATTGTGCTCTTATTTCTCTCTAGTGTTCCAAAAACGATAACAGTTATCTGCAAATTCTGAAGTTTTTCCTGATTTGCTCCATTTTTTCTTACTTATTACTGAATCAAGTAATTTTCCTCAGCCAAGTAGGAAAGAACAATCCCCATATCCAACGTCTTGTCATTTCCTTAAACTGAAAGAAATTCTTCCCCTTCCACTCCATGAAATGTCAACATTTCCCCTGATGAGCAGAGTTTTACAGCACCTGAAGTACATCTGTTTTCAATGGGTCTTCTCTAAGCAGAGAACAATTCCTTCCTTTCAAACACTGACCAAAGTCTGTCCTTGTAGAAGTTTCTATCCTTGCATTCCCAGTTTACTTCTTCAAAAAACAAAACAAGGCTCTACTGGCAACAACAGTCAGCCCATGCCTCACCACTCTGACTCGGGCTTTTCTCTGCAGAATATATTCAGAATACTACTAAAGCTAATCAACCCTAAGACAGTTTCCTAAATCAATAATGATAATGTTATGCTGAACAGAGAAGGAACTTAACCAGGTAATGCTAGGGAGAAACCAGGCTTGATGACAGGACAGCCATAATGTGTCCAATCCTTCAGTAGAAGAAATGGGGTACCTGTGCTTGTGCAGAAGGAGAACCAGGAGCCAAATATAGCAGAGAATCATACCACATACTTCCGTCATGGCAAAGGCCCACGGGATTCTGGGAACGCTGCAACAGAAAGAAAAAATAGTTTTGAGCTGAAGAGAAGCAGAGGCCAACCTTTTCAGGAAGACACTCCTCTGACAATGAACATAAGCTCACTTTGTACAGCTTGTGATTCTTGCAGGATATGACGTGGCAAATATCAAGAAGTATTTGGCAAAGTGTTTTATAAAAAGTTTTCCATTTATTTTAACCTGTTTGTTGTCAATGACTCCCAGTCACGGTTTTCTGTAAAGGAGGAACGTGCTTTTCTTTTTACAAGCAGACCTGGATATAAGACTGCCCACAAGACAACGGGAGAAGAGTTCGCTTTGTGCATGATGTACTTAATTCAGAATTCAAGCTATCAGGGATTTGAATACATGGGTTAGTTCTATTTTTTAAAAAAATTCCTATTTCTTTGTCTTCTTTTCTATTCCTTTTCTCTTTTGTCCTTCCCATTTGTCCCTCTTTTCTCCTAACTAAATCCTTGCTTTTGATTACCCATTAGTAAAAGGTCATATTCCTCAAATTAGAAAGAAAAGGATGAAATAGGAAAGGGAGGACGGAGAGGAAGAAGGGGAAGGGGAAAGGAAGAGAGGCAGAAGTAAAGTAGGTCATCTCTGGTGCTGGGGTTATTGGTGGTTTTACTTTTAATTTTGTTATTTATTTCATTAAAACAACCATAAATGGTGTGTGTTAATTTTATAACTAAGGAAATATATATTTTTAAAGCTTCCTTTTTATTTGTATTGGCCTGTTTTCTTCAAATGCCTGGTTACTATTGACTGGCAATTCAAATTTGACAATACAACACTAAGGCAGACAAGCACTGTCAACCTGCAGCCCTGTTGTTCTGTGCAAGTGTTCCATGAAGAATCTGTTATACAGCTTGGAAGATTGGTGCTGTGTGGAAATTGAGATGGAAAATAATTCTGGCTACATAAGGAAGGAAGCCAAAACTCTCAACTGATTAGCATGTGGACTTGTAGTTAACCTTTTTGAAAACACACAGCAGTTTTGTTCTCACAGTGCCCTTCAGTGTACAGTCCCTGACATTCAGCTGCTGCGGAGAGTATAACACCAGTCTTCCACTGGGGCAGAGCAGTTCTAAAAGCTTTTTAAACACATCTTCAACCAAATAATCCTATATTTAGTGCTCGACTGCACCTGGACTAGAGTGAAACTTGATGCTCTCATTTTGGAGTCTTTCTCTGTCTTGGGCACTAATACCACCTATTTCCAATCTCACAACTTATGCTTAGGTTTTTATTTTCGAAACGTCTTCTCACCATTTTTTGCATGAGCTGGGACTGAGGTTTTTTCCCTCTTTAACTGACATTTCAGGGGACTGTTGTAAGGAATATACCAAGTATACACAATTTCTCATATTTTTTATGCAAAGACTCAAAAATTAGATTACATGTGCATATGCTTTTTTTTCCTGGAAAGAATTTAATTTTCTATAGTAGTTGAGAGCCATCACTGTAAACACTATTACATTATACATGGGAGGCTGGTAGGGATTTCAGGGACAAGTGAGAACAGGGGATTTAAGCCTCCATTTTCCCATTATTTGTGATTACTCCTTATGATGTTTGCGCTTCCTTCCTGATTATTATGGTTATCAGTGACCCCGTCTCACTGTTGAAGACTGGCCTGCCTTACGAACATCCCAGTCTCCTAATTTGCTTGTTTGTATTTGTGCTCAACTCTTGGAGTTGTGTAAAATAAGCTTCAGAGCAGATCCTGAAACAAAGATCAGTATATAAGAGATTTATAAGGAAGTGCTCCCAAGGGGGAAAAAAACCCAATAATGTGCTTATATGAGATCAGAGATGCAAAGAAATCCAGCATGAAACATCAGGCAAACTGCTGTGGGGAAACACAAAAAGGGGAACTTTGGCCCGGTCCTGCAGGGAATTTGGGACAGTGTAGGTCTAACCTAAACAGTATCCAAATAAGGAGAAGACAAATGAAATATTTATATTCCATCTCACAGGCCATGGGTTAAGGACTGTTATTTTCCAAGCATTCTGGCTCTCCTCTCAAGCAGGCAAAGTGTGTTTGTTTCAGCAGAACCAAGGACAGCATACCAACACACATACACATACCCTGCTGAAATTGGTAGTACCAGTGTGCAAGGAAAAGGAAGAGGCGCCAACAGCATCTGCTGCCATTCTCCTGTATATAGAAGCAGATGCTTAACAGGATGGAGCTTCAGAGTGAACAGATGCTTCAGAGTGAATAGAGTGAATAGAAGAAAAAATAAGGCAAAATTATTTCAGACCTCCACTGTGAGGGGCAGCCATGTGGCATAGAGCGATAAGCCACTGGCTGTGCCAACAGTACCCCACATGGGTGCTGGTTCGTGTACTGACTCCTCCATTTTCAATCTAGCTCCCTAGGAAAAAAGGCAGCAGATGGCCCAAGTATATGGGTTCCTGCAACCCATATGGGAGAAACGAATGAACCTGTTGGCTCTTGGTTTTGGCCTGGCCCAGTCCTGACAGGTGCAGCCACTCGGGGGTGAGCCAGGAAAAAGAGATCTTTCATCAGCTAGTTCACTTCCCTGCAAGCTACAACTTAAACCCACCATTTCACAAGATTGGTCCCTGTGCATTTCTTTCATTTATGACATAAAAATGTGCTTCAAGCTAATTTAACATTTCCCTTGCCTCAGTATTAAAAATCAGCATTTATCTAAGGAACACTGAAATACATAGAGTATATGAATTTTTCAGCAAAGCAAAATGTCTTTTTTAAAAAAGATTTATTTTTATGGGAAGTCAGATATACAGAGAGGAGGAGAAACAGAGAAGAAGTTCTTCTGTCCAATGATTCACTCCTCAAGTGGCCACAATGGCCAGACCTGAGCCGATCTGAAGCCAGGAGCCAGGAGCTCTTCCGGGTCTCTTACTTGGGTGCAGGGTCCCAAGGCTTTGGGCCGTCCTCCACTGCTTTCCCAGGCCACAAGCAGGGAGCTGGATGGGAAGTGGAGCTGCCAGGACTAGAACTGGCATCCACATGGGATCCCGGTACGTGCAAGGTGAGGACTTTAGCTGCTAGGTTACTGGCCCAGGTCCACAGAATGTTTTTTTTTTATTTCATTTATTTATTTTTTAAAAGATTTATTTATTTATTGGAAAGTCAGATATACAGAGAGGAGGAGAGACAGAGAGGAAGATCTTCCGTCCGATGATTCACTCCCCAAGTGAGCGCAATGGCTGATGCTGTGCCAGGATCCCAAAGCCTTGGGCCATCCTCGACTGCTTTCCCAGGGCACAAGCAGGGAGCTGGATGGGATTAGAACCGGCACCCATATGGGATCCTGGCGCGTTCAAGGCGAGGACTTTAGCCGCTAGGCCACACTGCTGGGACCCAGAATGTTTGTAAAACAACCCAGATGAGGCAAAAATATGGCCTGGTGCTTAGTTGTTCTTTGGGATACCTGCATTCTGTATTGGAATGCCTGGTTTGAGTCCTGGTTCCTTTGTTTTCAATGCAACTTCCTGCTTTGCACCCTGGGATGCAGCTGATGGCTCAGGTACATGAGTTCCTAACACCTATCAGAGAAAACTGCCAGAGTACAAGGCTCCTAGCTTTGTCTGCCCCATCCCTGATTGTTGCAGGGACTAAGGTAGCAGGGGGTGGGGATAACGACAAGAGAGAAGATTTCTCTCCACTTCTCTCTCTGCCTTTCAAATAAAATGAAAAAAAAATTTTTTTTAAGTTTAAAAAGCACTAAAACTTTAAAAAGAAAAGCACAAATACAAAATTATTTGAAAAATACTTATTTTATTTATTTGACAGGCAAATAGACAAAGAGTGTGAGAGTTGAGAGCAAGCACCCAGTCTACCTGCTGGCTCACATCCCAATTGGCCATGATAGCCAGAGTTGGGTTAGAATGAAGCCAGGAGCCTAGAGCTCCACTCAGGTCTCACATATGGGCAACAGGCATCCAGATACACGGGTCATCTTCTATTGCCTTTCTAGGCACATCAGCAGGAGGCCGGATCAGGAGCACAGCAGTCAGTACTCGCACCAGCACTCTCATGTGAGAATGTCTCAGGCAGTTGCTTAACCCATTGTGCTAGAATACTGACCTCTAAAATGTCTTGAAACAGTATCTATTATTATTTTATTCCTATATTTCTTATATTATACATGTACTATATGAAGGTAGTTTTAAAAACTTGCAGAAATGGAATTTTAGGTTTATTTTGTTGAAAAAAAAATGAAATTAATGCATATGAGGGAACTTCAAAATGTTCATGAAAAATGTGTATCATGGGGCCCAGCATGGTAGCCTAATGGCTAAATCCTTGCCTTGCATGCACCAGGATACATTATGGATGCCAGTTTGTATCCCGGCAGCTCCACTTCCCATCCAGCTCCCTGCTTGTGACCTGTGAAAGCAGTAGAGCATGGTTCAAAACCTTGGGACCCTGCACTCTTGTGGGAGACCCAGAAGAAGCTCCAGATTCCTGGCGGCGGATCAGCTCAGATCCAGCCCATGTAGTCACTTTGGGAATGAACCAGTAGATGGAAGATCTTTCTGTCTGTCTCTATTTCTTTCTATAAATCTACCTTTCTAATAAAAAACCAAAAATGCATATCATGAAATAGGATTTTAAAAAATTTTGTACCCAAATAAATTTTATATTCAATTTTTCAAGAACCTTTAAAAGGTGCCCTTGTATTTTCTTTACAAAATTGATATCTAAAATAGAAAAATACTATTGAATCCACTTATATAATATTTGTGGTAACTTCAGTTCATTTAGTAATTAAGAGAAAACCCATATTTTAAGAAAAATAGAACTCTGCTAATCTTCAGCAAAAACCAAAAACCAAAACAAAACCGAAAAAACAAAAATGTCATTCCACAGCCTATTTTTTAAATCTGAGGTTCCCAAGAAGCTATACTTACAGAAAAAACAAAAAACAAAACAAAACAAAAAACCAAAAAACTAAGCAGTGGTCTTTTTAACTCACCTAGGCTTAATGTCAAATTTATTCTAAGTCAAAAAGGTGAAATCAAAGTATACCTTTTCATTCTACCAGATCAAGGTCAATGGAAAGTATAGCCAACCACAACAGCAAACTATGTAACTATGAAACACACCATCATTGTTGAAGCAACCTTCCATAGGTTTAGCAACTAGAATCAAAACTTACCTATCTAAGAATATATCGGGCAGTGGTGGATAGGTCTGCATGTCAGGCACTCGTTCATGGACTATGACCATGATGAAAGATGTAAACCCAAATACAATAAAAACGTATATACAACTCAGGATGGTTTTCCAGTACTCTGGGTCTAATCTTCGAATAGAATGCTTGTTTTTCCCATTCATGTACTGGTACTGATCAGAATTCAAGTCAGTCATGAGTCCGTCACAGTCGTGGGAAGGCTCTCCATTGCAGAGCCATTCCGTACTCTGAAGAGCGCTGAGCAAAGGAGTCATGGAACCCATGGGACTGTCACTGCTGTAGCCCATCTCTTCTAAAACATCAATATGTATCTTCTGCAACTTTCGGACTGACAGCATTAGCCTTTTAATGTCCCCCAAGACTTTGATTTCCAGAGGGGGAGACCGGAGATCATACTCAGTCAGTGTTAGCAACGTGATTCCATCAAGTCGGTGTTTGTTGCATAAAATGTCCACATACTCAAAAAAGCCTTCATCCTTTAGCCACACAGCCACGTGCTTGGTGGTCCAGCGGCGGATGCAGAGTTGACTGGGCCCTGCCATTTCCTCTTGTACTTCCTGTCAAGGGAAAACAGAAAAACAAAATAAAAACTTGAACATGTCCTCACAATTTCTTCAAGGATAAAATATGCAGAAACATGATGAAAGCAGAATTCTACTTACACTGCCCAAATGCCTTTATAGTAAAATACATGAAAATTGTTCAACAATGAGCAGTTTTCATAGGTTAACGTTGTAATAAGGGAACACTTTCATAGAAAAACATCTTACAAATGGCTTTTTCACAGCATGCAGAAAAGTCCCATCTTAGGGGCAAGTCCTCACCTTGCACGCACCAGGATCCCATATGGGCACTGGTTCTAATTCTGGCAGCCCCTCTTCCTATCCAGCTCCCCACTTGTGGCCTGGGAAAGCAGTCAAGGACAGCCCAAAGCCTTGGGACCTTGCACCCGCGTGGGAGACCTGGAAGAGGCTCCTGGCTTCTGATTGGTGCAGCACCAGCCGCTGCGGCTGCTTACGGAGTGAATCAAAAGACAGAAGATCTTCCTCTCTATCCTTCCTCCTCCAGGAGCCAGGAGCCAGGAACCTTTTCCAGGTCCCCCACACAGGTACAGGGTCCCAAGGCTTTGGGCCGTCCTCAACAGCCCTCCCAGGCTACAAGCAGGGAGCCAGTTGTGAAGTGGAACCACTGGGATTAGAACCAGCACCTACATGCAATCCCGGCGCACCAAAGGTGAGGACTCCAGCTGTCAGGCCACCGCACTGGGCCCAGGTACTAGTCATTTTCACAGCTTCGATTCCACACAATTGTTATAGCACCTTCTATTATGGCTCTTGAGCCTCCATAAAGTTTCTATAGCACATCAGATACACGAGAGACAATGGCCTACACACAGGAAGAAAGCCTGTTTTTCCAAAGTGCTCTCTTAGTTACTAAAGCCTGGAGGTTTTCTGAAATTTTGCAGATCTCTAAATTGTTTATTTCCTCCTCAGTTTTTTTTTTAATGATAGGCACATTTTTTAAGCATTTTAAGAAGGGACGATACTTGCCCCCAATCCCAACCAAAAAAACCCATGTGCTCACTACCTGGCATGAGAAAAGAATACTAGGCTGTATCAGTATAAACGTTCTGTTTCTTTTCAAAAACTTGCTTACTTATTTATTTGAAAGACAGGGAAACAGACACAGATAGAATTCTCCATCTGCTGGGTCAAACTCATACCTGCATGGAATGAACAGGGTGGGCTCTGCTAGGGAAAGCAGGCAGCAAAGCAGACAGCTGGGGCCTGGCACTCAATCCAGGTCTCCCAGAGGGGTGGCAGGCATCTAACTGCTTACATCATTGCTGCTACCCATCAAGGACTGCTTTAGCAGAGCGATGGAATCAAAAGTCAGAGTCAGGTGTCAAACCCAGGTACTCCAGCACAGGACTTGACCACCAGGTAAACACTGCCCCTTCCCATTTATAAGTGTATGTATTTCAGAGGGACAGGAGAGAAAGAGCAGGAGTGAGTGAGCATACTGTCTCTTATTCTGGATACTTAAACAGATGTACACCATTGGTAAACATTTATTAAGTTATACACTCATAAGTTACACTTTCATCTATGTTAAATTTTATTTTATCATTAAACAAGTATGAAACGCTTTACAAATTTGCATGTGATCCTTGCACAGCAGCCATGCTAATCTTCTCTGCATCATTCCAGTTTTAGTAGATGTGTTGCCTAAGCAAGCAATAAATTTTATTTTTGAAATTTTCTGCTTTAAAAGCAAAAACAGGTGGCCAATAAGCATGAAAAAATATCACTAGCCAACAAGAAAATGTAAAATTAAGCCCACAATGATACCACCTTTCCTCTGTAAGGATGACTCTCATCCCAAAGACAGACAACAACAAACACAGGTGAGGAAGTGAAATTCCTAAATACTGTTGGTGGGAAGTGAATCAGAGCAACTACTGTGGGAAAATGGATGGAAAGTAATTAAAAAACTAGGAACGGACATGTCATTTGACCTAATAATCACACTGTTAGGCATAAACCCAAAAGACCTGAACTCACCGCATCAAAGATACACCTGTTCCCCCAACATTTATAGCAGCACTGTTCACAACAAAGATGAATCAACCAAGATGCTCATCAGCAGACTAAGAAAATGCAGTCTACTTACAAAACAGACTAATATTTACCTATAAAAAGAATGAAATCCTACTATTTGCACCAAAATGGTTGGAACTGGAAGACATGTTGAGTGAAACAAACCAAACCCATAAAGACAAACACCACATTTTCCCTAATCTGGGGAAACTAAAATCACAGAAACACACAAATCTCAATCTGAATACAGAAGGCTGATTACTAGAAGCAGGGAGGATTGACAGGGTAACAGATTGGATTATAAGAAGGGACAGAGGCCAGGCCCAGCGTGGTAGCTTAGCGACTAGAGTCCTCGCCTTGCATGCGCTGGGAACCCATATGGGTGTCAGTTCATGTCTGGCAGCTCCACTTCCCTTCCCACCTGTGTGAAAGATCTGAAGGATCCTGGCTCCTGGCTTCGGATCAGCTCAGCTCTGGCGGTTGCAGCTACTTGGGGAGTGAACCAATGGACAGAGGATCCGTCTCTCCCCCTCCTCTGTGTAAATTTGACTTTCCAATGAAAAATAAATGAATCTTAAAAAAAGGTGGGGCTGGTACTGCTCATTACTGGGGGCAAATATATTAATGTGAAAAAACAGAGGAAATGGGAATATAGGAACTCACTAAAGCATTATCTCCCAATTTTTGTTTTGTAAATGAATAATAATGATTTATTAAAAAAAAAAAACATAAAAGCAGGGCAGGTGTTGGCAGAGCAGTTCAGTTGCTGTTTGGGATGCCTACTCCCCAACAGTGACTGGTTCAAGTGCCTGCTACTGTGCCTCCAGTCCAGCTTCCTGCAGGTCCAGCAGACCCTTGCAGGCAGCAGGTGACAGGTTTAACTATCTGGGTTCTTGTCATTTGCATGAGTTCTGCGCTCTCTGGCTACTGCAGGCGTTTGGGTAGCGAACCCAGAGATTTCTTTATGTCTCTCTATCCCACACCCCCAAATAAAATAATGAATAGATTTCTTTTGCAAAATGTTAAAAGAAATTACAAATGAGTAACCTATCAATAGCATCCTCTTTCTCTCCAAGATTTAATGACTCCTGATTTGGGTGTTTCACTGCCTTTTTTGGCAAGCTGTTTTTGGCTATGTAAAAGCCTCCTATGCTTCCTTACATGAGGAAAGTGAAGAGCTGACACTGTCCTGCTTTCTTCCCATATCCACATTAACTCTGGTCATGAAGACGTAGTTACCTAGCAATGGCAGACACTTCAAATTCATGAGCACCCCCTGTGTTGTCAAAGGCATTCAGAAACACATGACAAAATTCATCCACAGGCAAATGTCACTGAATGTCAGTCAAACATTAAGTACTCACTTCTTAAGAAGCAACCAAGTTTTTGCAAAACTGGAATCATACCGTTTCCACACAGTGCTTTTAAAATAATCAAACCTGTCTAAGAAAATTAACATCACAAAATTTCTAGTCTTACAAAATTAATGCCACATTCATCTAAAAGTCTTTTTTTAAAAAGTCATTTAGTTCTTATATACTGCAATTACAAAAATTTCTCCTCAACTCCTTGTAGCTACAGTAGTAATATCACCATCATCACAAAGATTACAGAATTCAGATTTACTATCTTTAAAAAGCAGAATTTATAAAGTGATACATTATATGCTCACTTCATATATTTACTGTAAGTTATTTTATTTCATTAAACATAATTTTACTATTTGAGTTCAAATGCATAGATGGTTTTATCTACCACATACATACACTGACTGAATTACTTTAGCCGTCCAACAAGCATATGCGATATGCTCTGTAACAGAAACGTAGCAAAATGAGAAAGAATTACCTCTCATGCAAAACACTGCTTCTATTCTACTACCTTTCCCATGACAGCTTACCACTAAAGGATTCCAAGTCACTCCCATCCTGGCAGCATTATTCCTCAGAATAATTTCATCTCACACTCTGCTTGAATAATTCTTCCTTCTTTCTTTACCCCGCCGCCCCCCCCCCCTTCACTCACCAGTTTTTTTATGACCACATCAGGAAAACAGGTTTTGGTGCTGATGTTTCAACTGCTATAAAATATGAAATATTAACCATGGAAGTCTCCTAGAAGCCTTTGAGCCTGCTGTGGGAATGCCCCTAAAGCATGACACATTTCACTGTGCTGTTCATCAGGTCAGTGCACGTCCTTTAATTGTATGCTACCATGTAATACTTGGAGGCCTACATGGAACCACGTAACACTGAGAGAGCCTGCATTACAGTACATTAAAAGATGATGAAAAGCTTTAGGGCCCATTTAATATTTATGTTACATCACAGGATTACAGGGACCAGGAGGCTTTGAACAAAGAATATGACAGATACAGATTTCACACCAGTTGATACAATGAAGGAATTGTTAGTAAATGCTTAAGAATGCTTTCAGCTTTGAATAAATAACAGATACAAATAAATGGTTAGGGGATTTTTTTTTCTTCTGGCCAACATATAAAAAGACAAACAAGGAACAGATTCACATCATGTCCTCAAACAACCAAACAAAATACTAAGAAAAAAATTTTCAAGACGGGAGACATGTGATAAATTCCAAAGATGGAAAACAAGATAAGCCTTATCACCCCAGCTGACTGCCATTGAAAATTTCCAAACAACAAGAAGTGCAGAATGGGAGGCCCAGGTCATGCAGGGTGACTGAACTGAGGAGAGGAGCTGAACAAAGCCTAGCAATCAAGGTGACTAGCTGTTTGTGGGGCAGAAAAGTGCAGAAGCCAAAGAGACACAGAGAACTCCAGAAAGACCGCTCAGCTCAGCACTGACACTGTGGAATGCTGTCAAGAATGCAGAAACTGCACATCTCATACAACGCAGGGGAAATGTTAAATCATACAGTCATGCTAGAAAACTGTTCTGCAGGTGCTTAAAAAAAACCCTAAACACAAATCCCAT